ATCCCGGATGTGCTTATAAGTTGCTTAAGTCATCCACAGAAACGATCGGAAACTAAGAGGCTGAACATCTATAAAGACTGGAGAAGCCCAGAGTAAAGACACAATGCCAACAAAACCCAAAATTAACCCGATACATACATACTGTAGAAACGCAATGTCAAGCCAGTAGAAACCCTCTGCACCCCGATATAAATCTAGCTTACGTGTCCGTATAAGGACTGGCAAAATCCCTGGAAGCACCGAAACAACCTGTAAACTCATCCAACCAAGGCAAATCTATAAGCACCTACAACACAAGCCACCAGTTTCCACAAGACAGCGGAGCCCTAAGCCCAAATCCGAAACCCAAACCCTAAACCTTCAACCAAAACCCTCGACCCTCAACCCTACATCCCAAACCCGAACCCTAACAGTTCCAAAACCCCAAACCCTCAAAACCCTACCTAAACCCTGAGCCCGAAGCCCCGAATCAAGTTTGAGGGCCCTGCAAGAGACGCAGGCCGGATAAGCCACAGAGCTCTCGTTCCAGCCATTTCCGACCTCAAAGGGGCACAGCTGTGGTAGGTAGGGTTTAGGGTTTTAGGGATATAGGGTTTAGGGTTTCGGGTTTGGGGCAGTTCAGGGTTTAGGGCTTATGGGGTTTATTGGGTTCGGGGTTTACGTTTTAGTGTTAACAGTTGTTGAGGTGAATGTACCTGGACCTAGACCCCTCGACTACCCTCTAACATACCCCAAAACTTCCCACTACTACGGACCATAAGGGCTCTATTAAGAGGCATTTGGTGTGCGGGTAGGGTCTCGGAATGAGGGTTTAGGGCTTAGCCAAAGAAATAGTTGGGGCTCAGGGTTTTCACTTTGGAGAGGGGGCCTTCGGTTGCCGAGCTTAGAATTTATAGGCTTTGGGATTTTGACGTGTAGGTTTAGGGTTTCGGTCCGGGGGTTCTGGAGTTTTGAGGGTGTAGAGCCCACTCTCACTGCCCAAAAGTCCCTTCCCTAAGGGCCTTTTATTACAGCCAGCGATATGCACCAGAAACAAACAGGAGCATGGACCCTTAGACCCTATCATCCTATGGTTTCCAGAAAACCATTAAGGGTACCCCCTAGCATAGAGGGATATATGGGCACTTGTGGCTTGCTCCAGATCCTCACAAAATCATCTGATTTTGAAGTGTAGAGTTGTTATACTATGAATGCCCCACTAAACCCAAATACTATAAGGGCCAAATTAACTAGAATAGGGCTTTGGGGTAATTATATTAAGGCCCCTACATTGAGGTCTTTGTGGCGTCCAGTTTGGGCTTCGATTTGAAGCCCAGGTCCAAAGTTTAAGCTGGAATTCACCTCTGCAGAAGAAGCACCCGGAGCCCTAATCTCCCACACCGTCATCCATAGACCCTACTTGGAAGGGCAGGGGACTTAGTAAGTAGGTTATAAGTAGAGTTATAAGTACCCTAAATGGAGTTACCCCAACTATAACCCTACTTCAAAAGCTACTTACTCAGTCCCCTGCCCCTCCAAGTATACATCCGATACCCTACACCCGCAACTCAGGACTCCACCCGACCCTGAATCCTGCACTCTACGCCGCAAAGGCGCGGGCTGCTTCAAGGCCTTTTAGGGTTTAGGGCTCAGGCAGCCCCCGGGCCCCGAAATCCTTAGAAGGTTAAATTAAAGCTCAAGCCCAAATCTCAGAACGATGACGCGAAGCCCTATAGAGCCTAAACCCTAAACCCCAAAACCGGAAGCCCTAAACCCTAAACCCCAAATCCCCACACCCTAGGGGCCTGATACTGCAAGCTTTTCCTGTACACCTGGGGCCATGGCTCCACTCTGTCATGGGCTTCTCCTCCCAATGCCAGGCATTCACGTTCCAAACCTCCAGCTTCGCTTTTGGGTCTGGGGTTTAGGGCTTTAGGCTTTCGGGGATTGGGGTTTTGTGTTTATGACTTTAGGGATTTAGGGTAAAGTTTTGGGTTCTGGGGTTTGGCTCGGGTTTGGGGCTGGGTGTAGAGGTATCGAAATAATCATGCAGGTACTGCTATTCGCGTTCTTGGTTCTGCACTACGGTTGCTAAATTATGGCTGGCAACCCCTGAGGGTACATGTACCTAAATAGTATATACTTTGGCCCCAAAGCACCTACACAGGAACTACCTTACAGTCCAAGTATATACCATTGGGGCACATGGACCCTTAGGGGACTATATCGCGTGTGTTTTTACGTTGCAAACCTTGGGCTCCGGATTCTATGGGTTTGGTGCTTAGGTAGGATGTTTTGGAATTCCTGATGTGTTGTAGGCTTTTTGGGCTTCAGTGCTTAGAGTTTCGAGCTCATGGCTTTAGGGTGTGGGGTTTAGTCTTCAGGACTCTAGAGCGAGACACTAATGCAACTCGGATCCTGCTGTTGCGAGGTTTGCACACAATCCTCTACTCCTCGCACCCCCAACCCCAAGCGGTAGAAACCCCAACCTACACGCGAATTCCTAATCCCTGAACTATAATCCTCCTGAGCCCCAAACCCTTTTCCCAAAGCTAAAGACTCCAAAACCCCTAAACCCTAAGCCTAAACCCTAAACCTGCACTCCGCGCCCGAAGTAAGTGTGAGTTTTGCCAAGGGGCGCTGGCCGCTACTTCGCCGGTCTCCGGCCTGTCAGGATTTGGGCTTACCCGGTTTAATTAGTGCCTAGAGTTTTCGCAGGCCTTGGGGTCTAGGTCAAAGGGCAAAAGGAGGGATATACCCATAATATAGCCATTATATACCAATTATATAGCCCATTATAGGGTTACCCGGTTTCATTAGTGCCTAGAGTTTTCGGTAGGCCTTGGGGTTTAGGGTCTAGGGTTGATCCGTTTGATGATATAAATCCGGCATGACCCATAATAAGGAATCTACCATAATTCCCATAGTTTAGGGTCCTTAAGGTCATGCAGGATTTATATCATCAACCGTGATAAGGGTTTCGTAGTGTTTGGGGTTGAGGGCCCTATTTTGGACCAACTCGGCCCCGGCAGCTGCTAAGCTTCGGAACAGCGAGCTGTAGGATTAGTTTTGAGTTTGGGGCGTGCGGCTACGGCAGCGGCTACGGGCTTACGATATTGGGTGCAGTAGGTGACCGTCTAAGATTGCGTGAGAAATGGTGGAGAAATGATGCGTGGCCGCGAGCGCATGAAGTCCATCCCGAGACCCTGGCAAACACCCCCTGAACGCCTGTCGCCCTAAATCCCAAACCCTACAACCCTCAACCCTAAAACCTAAACCCTAAAACCCTAAATCCTCAAACCCTAAGTCTTACTACCCTAAAACCCTAAATCCTACTACCCTAAAACCCTAAGTCCTATTACCTTAAAGCCCTAAATCCTAAACCCTACAACCCTAAACATGAACCGAACTCGAACCCACCAGCCCCAGAGTTCGAGGTAGAGTGTGGGTTTGCCTTCGGAAGTAGGTTTTGGAGGGTTTAGGTTTTAGTATAGGGATCATATAAGTATAGGGTTCATATAGGGCAGAGGGTTCGTGGTGCTTATAAACCTTCGGCTTCTATGCGGTTTGTAAGGCCGGGGCTTATGGGGTCTGGGGCTCAGTATTCAGGGTTTTAGGTTGTGAACTGCAACGCTGTACATCTTCATTCGCATTACCAGCTGCAGCCGGAAGCAAGCCACTACCGCACAAGTCCTGCCCGGTCTTATCTGCTAAACCCTGAACCCTGAACTTAAAACACCCTATACCCTAGACCCTATAAACCCTAAACCGCCCTAAACCCTAAACCCTAAACCCCCCTGAACCCTAAACCCCCTAAACCCTAATTAAACCCTAACCCCCCCTAACCCTAAACCCTGAACCCTCGACCAGTTTGGAGATCCATTTTGCCTCCGCCGCAGGGATCGAGATAAGGCCGAGGCGCTTGCGTCAGAGAGCGCAGCCCCCAAGATACGACCTACCCTTAAACCTCCTTTTGGCAGGTCCCCTATACATTCCTTACTTGGGTTTATAATCAGAACCTATTGACGGTAGGTTTTGGTAGGTTAAGCTAGAGTATACGTTTTGCTGTTCACGATTTGAGTTTGGGGTTTAGGGTTTGGGGTTCGTGGCTGTGGGATTTTGGAGCTTGCAGCGATGGGTCAGCAGATGATGTGGCATGCAGCTTAGTGACAGAGTCGGGGACTTAGGATTCAAATTCCAGCCTTACGAACCCCCAACCGAACTGCATTCCACCAGTGATTGTTGAGAAGTCCGAGATCAACCTGTCCAGAAGGAATAAGTGAACCGCAACGGTTGGGTTTTGTATTACTCAGGCACCCCGAGAAACTTGTTACACTTCTACATCCGCCATGGATGTCCATGTTCGGTTGCGTAGAGCGAGCGCCTGGGTATCTGCATCCGTAAGCCCTGACCCTAAGGGTCCAAAGGACCCAGTAATTAGGTATTCTGTTCTAGGATAGTAGTTATGTAGGTAAGGATTTCAGAGAGTATATGATGATGAGGTACTTGGACCCTTGGGGTAATCTTCAACGAAACCCGAAACTCTATGTGTGTATATGTATATATAGTCTGGTTCTGAATTGATCAACATTTTCGCAGCGTACTCATCCTTACTCTGGTGTGGTTGGAACATCGTCTGAAAGTTTTTAAACCCGAACCAGAAGTAAGGGTGCGTAATTGCCAGGCCGGAATGGGCTTCGGGGACTTTCTTCGCTTGCGGATGTCCTTGAAAGCTGAACTGCGTTGAGCTGAGGACTGAGGGGTTTGTACGCGAATGACTCGAATGACGGTACCGTCTCCGTAGGGTGCTAGAACCTTGAGGTTGAGGGCATAGGGTCTCGGGTGGTTTGGGGTTTAGAGTTAAGGGCTTATGTAGGGTGGTTTAAGGATTAAAGGGCATAACTAGGGTCTCGGGTGGTTTAGGGTTTAGAGTTAAGGGCTTAGGGTGGTTGAAGGTTTAGGGTTCCGAAGTGTGAAGCAAGCATCTGCACACTACACCGGGATCGGCAAAGCCACTTCGCTCAGTACTCCTTTGGCTCCTGCTCGGGCATGCCAGAAAAGGTGGCATGAGTGGCGTGAGTCGGAGAATCTGAAATCCCGTGTGGTATACACCAAATCCGTAAATGCCAAACGCCTCAACTTCGCCAACCATACCCATCTAGACGCTGGGCCCTGAACCCTGAACCCGAATTAGGGACAAACCTCACCGCCTACCAGGGACCCCAAGGTACCTTGGGCCTTCACAGCTTGGCTCCGTGTATTTTCAAGAAGGTTCCTAAGAGAGTGGGATACGTATACTACAGCTTGGAAGGACTGCTGGATATCTTCTCGTTATACTACAGCTTGGAAGGACTGTTGTTTCTAACTTCTTAGTGTTACTTTCCAGCAATATAAGGTCCTTGATAAAAGGGACTGGGATAAGCCTCGGAACATACTGCATAACATACCAGAAACACTAACTAAAGTAAAACTGGGAGTCGGGGAAAATGGCTCAGGATCGAGCGACCCCTGCAGAAATCACCGCCAAAAGTCAACACTCTCAAACCGCCTAACATGGATCTTTCCCCAAGGGGCCCGAGAACCAGATGTGCATGGATTGTTCAAGCCTATACGCCCTAAACCCCTCAGCGGCCATACTACACAATATGTTATTCCCGCCACCTCGGCGGTCTCAGCGGCGGCCGCCGGCGGTGTGCCCTCCTTTTCCGGCGCTGCCTGCCACCGCTGCTGCCACGGGGGTAGAGATCGTGTAGGTTCGAGATGTCCGGGCTGCGTGGGTAAAAATCCTTAGGCGGTTTATAGGTCTAGGGGTTTCGCCTAGGAGTGATCTTCGGTCTGAGGCCTGCTGATATTGCTAGTAGTTTTTGAGGCTCATGCATCCGTACAGAAAGTCAGAACGTACAGAAACCCGAAGGGTCTTATGTACCGATACAGTAGAATGTAGGGTTTCCATATTAGGAATTAATATTATGACTTAGGGGTATCCCCCATAACAGTACATAGGACCCATTGGGAAACTATATCCTCGCCTGGACCTCCATGTACCTATACACAGTATATGCTTGAGGGACACACGGCCTTAACGACTCGACTGGGCTTTCGGGTAATGATAACAGAAATACACAGATATACTGCGGGAATACTACGTAGCACTGCTACTTTTATTCCGATGCCTGTATCATCTAAAGGCTCCGGGTTGAGAGCTTTCGGTGGTTCGGAAGCTTCGGAGTTTGCAGGCTTTGGGCTCAGGGACATGAATAAAGGCTTTCAGCCAACCCTCAATTCCTATCAAGCCTGGTACGTGTCTGAGGCCAAGACACTTGTCTGGGACGTGAGAAGTAAACAAACATTTTCAGAAAGGTATCCGCGACAATGTAGACGTTCAGACAACTTATGACAACAAGGGATCTGGGACGACCAACCGAGAAATGTGCGGGCTACAGATGCAGAACCCCCCGCTCAGTGCATCTGAATACTTGGAATAGGGCTTTCGAGTATATTGGTAACTTAATTATGTGCGGGAACACTTACTATAGTAAGAGACTACTTGGAGGGGCAGGGGGCTTAGTAAGTAGCTTATAAGTGGGGTTATAATTGGGGTAACTCCATTTAGGGTACTTATAACTCTACTTCTAACCTACTTACTAAGTCCCCTGCCCTTCCAAGTACCATTCTAATCATCGTGTTCAGACTCATGCTTTTCACGTAGTTGAACTCCATAAAAACAAACCTGGGCATGGTAGCCTCCGATTTTGTTCCTAGACCTCCCCCCAACTACCCTCTATTATACCCTACAGCAAAGTTGGAAACCGGATGAAGGCCAAATAGTGCTGGGATTCCCGGTGCATTACTCTTAAGGATTGAGGCTGTTGTAAATGCTCCCTGTAACCGACCAAGGGCTCTGTTAAATGGGGATGCTGGTTCCGTCTTCTCAGCCTCTCTGGACCCTTTGGGTTGATTTGAGCTCGTATTCACCCAAAGGGTCCTATGTACTGCTATGGGGGATACTTCCCTGAGTCATAATAGTAATTCCTAATATGGAAACCCTACATTCTACCATATCGGTACATAGGACCCTTCGGGTCATGAGATTAAACTAAGTGCGAAAAAGAGCTCTGAAGTTGTACGTATTGAAGACTTTGAACTGGCTGAGCAGTATAACTCATATATCATATATGCAGTGTCAGCATGCTATTTGATATCTGATTCGCCATATGCGACCTTAAAGCAAGATCCAAGCGAACCGGTGCTTGCCTGGTCGCCGGTGAACACCGGAGCCGACGGCGGTGGCAAAGGAGGTTCAGCGGCACCTGCTTGCTTTTCTTTGTTCGGTGGGAATGTTTATTTGTTGATTATGGAGCCGCCAGCCAACGGGGGCATGAACCAAAACACCTAAGATGGGAATTACGATGGTGAAGGTGGCGATGGCAGTGACAATGAGGAAGGAGAATAGATCGTATGGGTCCGGTGGCCGTTTGGGGCCCAAACACGAGCAATGGTCTCGAAAGTACTGTTGCACTCCCTACTAAACCCTAATCACAGACTCAAGGGGCACCCTAAACCCTAAAACAATTTCATCTCGAAACCTGGATTCTGAGAACAACCTCAGGACAGCAAATCGTGCAAGCAGAATCATTTCGTGTTTACCACTCAAACCTTTTGCAAGCCCTCGGAACATGATAGCGTTTAAGGTTTACCTGTGGCCCAAAAGATCTACCTTGTGAAGAAACTATATATATATATATATATAGAAGCCTAGATAAGGAACCCTACAAAGGCAGGTAGGTCTTTCCGATCTGCCGGACCTGCTTCCGGAGTCTTGGCTTTCGCCTCCTCTTTTTCCTCTCGGGCTCAAAGGTACCGGATACTGGCTGTATAGTTCTGACAGGGTGAAAAGGTTTGAAGTGTAGGTGTTAGGTTAGTTTGGGGTTTGTGTCAACTACCTGAAGGCCCCAAAGTAGTTCCTTTTTGGGGTTCGTATATAGAATCCTATAAGGTAATCCCAAAAAGGAACTACTTTGGGGCCTCTGGGTAAAGATTGGTTGAGGAGACATTGTTGACGTTCTGGTTGAGCCGAGGGTTTAAGCCTCCAACTTAGGGTCGATGCTGTACGGTTGGTGCCGAGCCACTCGAGATGCTCGAACCCCATGCTGAGCAGTTGGCATTCGCAAGGAACCGTGCTGTCAAGATGTGCAGACAAGGGGGTTATCTGCGAAGGTTCACTCCAAATTAATGCCTGTGCCCGTGCCAGTCTCGGTGTGCGGGGAAGTCAGGCTTCATGAGAGGGTACAAAGTGGGATGTGCTAAGTAAGACTACAAGTTACGGCATCTCCGCTAAAAAAACTTTAAAAGACCTGAATCCCCGAAACTTTTTCGACCAACCCAGATCCACCCTCAAACCTCCTCACACCCCCAAACTAAACACAAACGGTGCCATGGGATTCGGAACTCCTTGGCAGAAGCATCTGCATCATCGTCTGACCCTTTCGCTGCTGGCTCTGTTGCCTGATTGTCAGGGTTTAGCCTAGAACCCATCGATGCCTAAACCCCAAACCCCAAAGTTGAACCATAAACCCCAAATCCGTAACCAACGGCTAGGGAGCTTCGTTGATAGTTCTCTTCATCTGGCTTTGCTTGAAGATCTGCCTTGGCTCGATGGTTTCGGGGTCTTAAACCCTAAACACCAAATAATAAAGTCATATATATATATATATACCCAGCTGAATCCCAAACCTGAAAATTACCTAAGCTTTAAATCCGAACTCCTTAACAACACCAAAAATCTTAGAAGGCTTGTGCAAAAGTGCACCAGCCCAGGGTTTTCTTTCAAACGGAACGCACAAAGGACTTAAGGAAATCGAAAGGGTTCAAATCTGTTAGGGTTTAGGGTTCAGGGTTTAGGGTTTAGGTCAAGGTGTAACTAAATTCAAGAGAATCTGCAGAAGATGGGCGTGGCTGCACCACACTGGGCTTGGCTTCGCTGGCCGGGGCGGGCTGGGCTCTGGGCTGGAGACTGGGCTGAGCTCGGCTAAGCTCCATGGAACTGCTTTGCACGTTTCGCGCCGGGCCCGCCAGCTGCAAAGAACGTGGACAACTGCAGCCGGCAGGTGCTTCTTGGGGCTGTACTTGTGGGAGCCTCCGAACAAGCACCCTCCTCAATGCATCCCATCTCGCATTGGATCCGGGGGTGAAAAAATTGCATGTTGGAAAGATACAGATAAGCCGATGATGACACCAAAGCTTAAATTTGATTGGCAAACAAACATGAACAAACACCTGCAAGCAATCTCTCGGTGACAACACAAACATCAGGGGGGTGTGGGGAGCCTGGACACACCCATCTTGGCAAGGACTCCCAAATATTGGGGGGCCTTCGAGAAGCTCCGGCCCCTGGTAGGGCTTCAGGGTTCAGGGTTTACTGAGGGGAATCAACAGGTAGAATAAATGCTTGGAGTATACTGTGCTAGAGGCTAGGCTTAAGGCTTTATGTGCGGTTTAATATCTATAAGGCCGTATTCACTACGAATTTAATCGGGTTTGCGCACCTTAGCCGAAACCCTATAACACCCCCAAACCCCTAAACGGCAACCCCAACACATCTTAAAACCTAAACACCATCTGCCTCGTCTCCTTTTGCATCCTTTGGCTTCCGGGATGGTGAGAAGCTCCTTGGCAAAGGGTTATGGTCTGGGGTTCATGGGTTAAGAGTTTGCAGGAATTATCGGACATCCGTTGGGGAGAGTTGGGCCAAATTTGCTGCGGGTTTAGGAGGATCCATTGTTGTATAATGGGCTGCTCTACCTTCGGATGCTCGAGCAGACCTGCAAGAAGTACTACAAGTTGTTGCGTCGCAAAAAGGAGGTGTTCAACCTGTCCGAAATCGACAAACTTCATACCTCTCGCCCACATCCCGAAGCCCTGAACGCCAAACGCTCAACCCTACGCCACAAACAGTGCCTGACTGCGAACGGACAAGTCATATTCGGATATCCTAGTCCCTGCTGGCTGCACGGGTAAGACGCATATACGTGCATACATACATGCATACACACATACCAGCAACTACGAATACAAATACATCCAAACTGCGAGGCTCCTACATCCAAAACCTCTGCAGGATTCGGTGTTCCGGATGAAACCAGAAATCTGCATGCAGTCCCGAATCCTTCGCTCCTCCTCGTATCAGTAGGCCCTCAACACAGCTCCAGATCCCCGTGCATGTATCCGCCTCACCCCCGGAATGCCTCCGCAGACAAACACACACACAGAGACACAGACAAACAACCAGCAGTGTCAAGGCACGCGAAAGAAGCCATGTTCGCAAAGCGCTGAAACCGCGCCTGCGAGGTTTGGGCTTGAGATGCTGTTGCTACCACTACTAGCACTACTACTAGTACTACTACGGCCTCTACTACGACTACTACTACTACTACTACTACTGCTGCTACTACTACTACCACGACTACTCCTACTACTGCTACTGCTACTGCTACTGCTACTGCTACTGCTACTGCTACTACTACCACTACTACTACTACTACTACTACTACTACTACTACTACTACTACTACTACTACTACTACTACTACTACTACTACTTACACTACTACTACCACTACTACTGCTAATACGAACTACTACTACTACTACTACTACTACTACTACTACTACTACTACTACTACTACTACTACTACTACTACTACTACTACTACTACTACTACTACTACTACTACTACTACTACCTACTACTATGGCGGAGAAGACGACGACGACGACGAGCATCACGACCACCACCACCACCACCACCACCACCACCACCACCACTACCACCACCACCACCACCACCAGCGCCACCACCGTAGGCACACTTCTATGAGTACCTGATTCACTAAATTCACGACGACCATCAATACTGGTACTACTCTTACTAGCCAGGGTCCGATGTCTGTTGACTGTCAGTAATATGGATACCCTAAGTGTTGTACCTGCATCTGCGGAATTCACTGGTGGATGCCTATGGAGGCTTTGAGTCTTCGCGATTTTTTTCGTGTTCAAAAGGGCCTACCCATAGGCCCCAAAGTAGCTCCTTTTGAGGGTTCATGTATAGAATCCTATAAGGTACCAGGTAATCCCAAAAAGGAACTACTTTGGGGCCTCTGGGTAGTATGGTCAGGGTTTAGGGCTCAGGGTTTACCTGTTTAGAAACAGACCAAATTAGTTTTTCTGCTAGAGACAAAAGCTCAGGACAGCGGAAACTGCACTGCCTGGGTCGGGGCGGCCAGTGAGTCTGCTTCGCAACCCTAAACCCTCCAAATCGTTTAAGATGCCGGCTTTGACGGATGACAAATTTTCGAAGCACTAGCTACCGGAGAGGAGCTCTTCACCAGCTTAGAGTTGAAATTTCATGTGACATTGGACCGAAGTCCTACACCATGGCAGCCCCTACAGTAGACCCCGGGCCGCGACAGCGCGGCAGCTAAACCTTACAACCCAAACCAACCTTGGACTCCGCACCACTGAAGCTACATGGGAGTTTCCGAAAAAAAGGGGTAGCTTATTATTTTGGGGTCCTTACAATAAGGATAAGGATCCTACCATCTAGGGTGCTATATTAGGATCCCACATTTTTGGAAACTCCCATATCTTGAAGTCGGCTTCAGCTGAGATCGACACCATCGTGCCGGCTACGATGCCACGGGCTGGCCTTGATGGAAAGGAGCAGGGCTCCTATAACAGTAAAGTAAAAGCCAGAAAGTTGGAATATCAGTATCATAACCCCTTTAAGGTAAATTATAGGGGATCCTACCCTGAAACCATATTCCAACTTTCTGGGGTTCCCTTTAAAGTAGAGAATGCGGAGCAGACCAGTCTGAACAGAATTTCACGAGAATGTCTAGTCAGTTCCAGTACTCACACCGCCTCTGCTTCTGCGGGTTTCGCCGAAGCCGCTGACCGAACCCAGAACCACGTGCAACCGTTGAATTCTCGCAGGGTCCTTAAAAACTTTAAGGATCAAGATCTGTTGACTCTCATTCTTTGAAGACAGGTTGTCGGAAGCCCCACATGCAAAAAACTCGCCAAACCGACACTCTCAAACCCTAAGCCTGCACTTCGAAAACAGGGGCCGCTGCTTTTCTGCGTCGTCTGCGGACTTATCCCCCTGGCAGCACGGGAGAACGGGTCCCTTGAGTGTTCCGGGTGGCTGATTTTGGGGTTAGGCTTTGGCACCCAAGATTCAAGCTTGTCGCATTGAGGGAACACTTAAACCTGAACCCTACAAGCCCTACATACAAAGAAAACACTAAACCCTAAAAATAAACACTAAACCCGTAAAACAAAAAAACGAAACCCTGGAACCCTAACCCTGCATGCCCGAAAGACCCCCGACCTCAGAGGCCTGGCCCCTGAGTCTTGAAGGGCTGGGAGGTCTATAGTACCCGGCACTTACAGTACTTGGAAGGGCAGGGGACTTAGTAAGTAGGTTATAAGTAGAGTTATAAGTACCCTAAATGGAGTTACCCCAATTATAACCCTACTTACTAAGGCCCCTGCCCCTCCAAGTAGGTGCTTCGGATAGTAGACTTGTGGGTAATCCGCTGTGAGCCGTGATTTACACCAGCTAACGTTGAACTTAAACATCGCACAAGGCTCGGGCATCGAAGCCGAATCGTACCCATGAATTTCGGTCGGCGTCAAACAATCAGGAATATCCGGAGATCCGGATGCAAACTCTTTACACAAGGATCTCCTGCAAAGTTACCTGCAACTTTCAGAAATGCCCATGTCGGTACTTCTCATGCTGTTTCTCCTAAACCCGAAGCCCGTTCAGACTCGCGTCCGCCTCTGCACTCTTGCCCCTTTTGCCAGGCTTCTTGGGCTTTGGAGGCACACCCCTGGACTGCTTTCAGTAGCGGAGATGACACGGTTTAGGGTTCAGGTGACAGTGCGGGGTTTAGGGTTGCCTGACGTTTACAGCGAAAGCTGGTGTATTCAGGTTGAGGATATACGGATGTATCCTGGGCACCCCTGGGCACTACTCTAGATCCCAAGCTCCAAAACCCTGAAAGACGAGTATGGTGAAGAAACTTGTTGGGGTTTAGGCTTTCTCTGTGCACGTGTAGTCGTGAATACGGTTCTTGTGACTCAATCGGTTTCGGTTTCGGGCCTAAGGGTTGGTGCAATCGTTCCCATGTCTGAGCATTCAGTTCCGTATCTTGGCGTTCGAATTGCTGCCGCTTCTTTCGCGGATTGCCATACGTAGTGTCCGTGTTCTGCTGGCTGACAAATGATAGGTTAAGGACTACAAGAGGGATGCCTTCATGTCGTCTCAATCCTAAACCTGCAGCATCCTAACAAAGGGCTCAAACAGTCATGCCGATAAGTATATTGGAACCTCTAAACTCGGACCCCTAACTCCGAATCTACTAACTCCTACATGCCGAAGGCCTAACACGACACTCGCAAAACCTGAATACCTCTTTCGCAAGTTTTGAAGGTAAAAAACTTACTAGCATCGCAGGAACACATGCAAACACACACAATTCAGACCAAGAGCCATTCTTAGAATGTTCTCCGCCTTTAGTTCATGTTTAAGTGCATTTTGGGCTCGCACCACCATGAAATCAATCCTAAACTCCCTCAATTTAAGGGATCTACTTTTTGGATTCTGCCGGGGCCCTCGGCGCTCTGCATGGAATTTTGGGAGGCTTGCAGCCAGGGCGCTTCTCGAACTTCCCTGAAATCAGGGGGTCGAAATAGAGGTGGGGGTTTAGAGTGTCCCAATAATTCGAAAATGGGGCTTTGGATCCAAATCGTCATAGGGCTGAATTGGGGTCATATTATGTAATATTATACGTATGAGGAAGTCTATCAAGGAATTTTGCTACCCAATCTCAATGTCAAGAGCCCCCACAAATATCTACAATCAGACCTCTGTATTACAAATAAGGGGAACTTGTACATTCTCCCAAGTCGACACCTACTCTTGGTAAGGGTCGGGTGGAGATCGTTTGGTCTTCAGTTGCCGAGGTCACCTGGCCTTTGATACAAGAAAAGCTTGGACATTCTAATAAAGATGGTGGAAGTATACATGGGAGTCTCCGAGTATGAGGGGCACCGTCTTTTGGTGTCCTTATAATACGGATCCTACTGTTTAGGGTACTTTAGTATGGTCCCAGGGACCAGGGTCAAAACAATCTCCGGTAGAATTATAGAAATCTAGTGGAATCCGATAGAAGCTCTTTTCAAACAACGCCCGGCTCATCCTTAACCTTGAAGCTTCGATGCTGGGATCTGGCACGTTGTGCCATCAAGAGCTTTGGGGCTTAGAGTTTCGGAGTCTGCGGGTTTAGGGTTTTCGGGATTTTGGTTTGAGGGTTTAGGATAACTTGGGATGAGGGTCCAGGGTAGGGCGTAGGATTTATTGCAAATCCCAGAACCAATTGCCCCTAATCCTAATCCCTATAATCCCAAAACATCCAAACCTCGGATCCCAAGGGCTGAACCACGTCTCGTCTGAAAGTTCAGGTCCGCACGCTCGGGCCTCCATGATTAGAGAGGGGTATTCTACGGATTCCTAGGCAAAAGCCAAAGGCTCCATGTACCTTTATAGTAGTTACTTAGGCCTTAAAGGGGTCTCTATATAGGTACTGTAAGGCCTAAGTATCTACCGTGTGGGTACAAAAGGCAAAAGCCACGAGCCACAAAGGAACGAAGCCCAAACCAGAGATCAGACCTTTCTGCTCGCCAACTCCCCGCCTGCTCTCGCTCTCCTCCTGCAGCTACGAACTCTTCTTGGGCTTAGGGGCTCTAGTCTAGGGGGGAAGGGATGCCGGAAACCCAGGGAAGGCTGTGTCGCATAGCACATCTTCGAACGTCAGTTGCTCTCACACCTACACCGCTAATTGTCAGCTGGTACAACCTGGACCTTGCGAGTAGTGGCAGCTCTTGAGCAGCAGGTTCTGAAAAAAACCTACAATGCCCTACACCACAGTCTGGCATTGCTGCATGAGTAGGGTCTTGCTCTAGGCAGTCGATGCGGGCATCATGTAGCGAAGAAGCGTCTTCAGAAATCCGGCTTTCGGGGAAACTGTGGCTTCCTTGTAGCAGCACCGCAGCCTTAGTTTGGTGCTTAGGGCTTAGGGTCACGTCGCCGACCGATTCGGTCCTTCGCCACCAAATAAAGCCACCGCCTGCAAGCGACAAGCACACCAAGACCTCAGCTCGGCGCCGAGAAGAGCTAGGACGTGGGGGTTCAGGTTCGGGGTAAGATCTGGGTATAACCCTAAGAGTCCAAAGGACCCAATAATTAGGTACTAGGTTTCGGATAGTAGGTATGTGGGTTACTATTTTGGAGAGTATATGATAATCAGGTACTTGGACCCTTAGGGTATAAGCTGTGTAAGCTTTGCGGCTTATAGATTGTATGGGCTGATTCTGAATCCTATCCTAGGGCTCCAACTGCTCAAATGGTAGGTTGCTGACTACGTAATTAATGTATCACCCGGTAACCCGTTATTTAGGTAACTGGAGCCCTGGGGCTAGATGCGGAAACCGACTGCCAGGAAAAGCCAAGGGAACGCGGTTCAATCTCCCGGCAAGGATCACATGTCGATGCGCTACTACTTGGGTAGTTGTCAAAATTATGGTACCTTTTGCGATCCCTATTGTAATACGGCACCTAATATTTAGGGTACCCAAAAATAGGGACCATAAATTTTGACAACCACGCATTTATGTGTGCCATTTTCTCGATATTGCGACTACAAGTCTCTCCCAAGAGCTCCAGTTGCCAAAACGATGGACTACTGGGTTACATATTACATGGTTAGCTTCAGAAACTGGTGAGGGTCAGAACCACTCTGACAACAAGTACTCTGTAAAACCAAAAACCCTTAACCCTTGAGACCTAAATCTTAATTGAACCATTAAACTCTAAACCCCAAACCCTTAAACCCTCTTTGCAATAGACAACAACAAAATGCGGGCCCGTGCTTTGCACATGGCCAGAAGTACGCATAATGAGGTAGTATACGATGTCCTCGTGAAAGACATGGGCCCGTATTAGGCGGCACTCTCTTTTGAAACCGGGCTTGCAGGCTGCCAGAACCTTAAACCCAAAACCCACCCCCGGCTGCAATCTCAGAGCTAAGAGACTCCCGCGACGGCGAGTGAAGCTGCCTGCGACGACATGGGGCTTCTCAATATCAAACGGTACTATATATATATATATATATATAGAATCCCAAATTGATACGTTTCTTTCGGGTTCCTGAAGTTTTAGTCTTACGATCATCATACCAAACCCTGTTCAAATTGGTATTCCGGCCGCCCATCGTCCCCTAGTTACCTGGGCTAAGGACCCTGAACCTTCAGCCCTCTGACAGTTTAGGGTTTACCTTAAGCCGGAATAACCTACCTTTTTAAGGGTTTATATTAAGGGTTTATATAAGGAAATCATAATAAGGAACCCTAAAAGGTAGGTTATTCCGGCTTAAGGTAGGGCTTAGGGTTTTTTTAGGGTGTCGGGTTGAGGGTGAGGGCTTGGATGTTTTCATGCGTGAGGATGCATTCAGACCTGCAGGAACCTCGCCAGATCTGTCCCACCCTAGACAACAAATGTCAATAATCATGATTATTACAATATTGGGTAAGAATAATCCAAATGCAACAAGTGCAACAATGAGAATAACAAAACCAATACTCACAACAAGAAGAAAATCAATATTGTTAATCATTCTTGTTTAAAAAAGTGTCATTGATAGAGAGGGCTTACAATTGCAACAGGGTTTTGGCCTAAATTGGGCTTTTACTACGATACTGAGGTAGCCCTCGCACGACGGACGAGTCCCAGAAAGCGCTAAACCCTCAAGCGCTCAACTAATTCAATTGAGAAAGAAGCCCAAGTAATATGGGGGCCTAAATAAATACGAATACTATTTTGGTGGCTCCTTGTTGTTGTAATTATACTGTAATTAGCGCGGACACCCTATTCTAGTTATTAAGGCCCCTGTATCAATCACCAATAGATTTCCTTATGGCTACAGGGTCCCAGCGACTCCAATCTCCCTCAATCAACAAGGAATATTCCAAAAATCAGAAAATTCGGAAAGAAACAATAATGGATGGTATATCCCAGGGATATTGGAGTCTCTGGGGTCGTGGGGCCGTGGTGCAGTGCGCCTTCTTTTCGTCTTTCTTCGTGTCTTTGCCTTCCTGGTCCTGGCAGCTCTGAAAACTGCAAAGCTGAACTCTAAACCCTAGGCCCTAAACCGGCATTCGGCTTCAGGTTTTGGTTTGCCGGTTTAGTTTTGACCAGATGTTCAGAGTTTAGGTCTGAGGGTCAGACGGTTGATCGTACCCTAAGCCCAAACCCCTAAACCCTAAGCCCTAAACCGCTGCTAACCTCGAAGAACCGGGAGGCAATGCTGAACGCACCGAAGTTCCCCAAGCTGAAGCCCCCATATCGGGGCATTCATGTGAAGAATGGGGCTTAGGTTTGGGTTTAGGGTGTAGGGTTTTGGGGGGGTGCAACATCATAAGGACAAAGGACGAAACGATATGTCTCGTAAAACTTGCCGACTCCCAAGTACAATAGCCTTCCCTTAGAACCATAACAAACACATAATGTTGATATTCTCTGAGGTCTTGTATTATAAGAACAAAAATCCGCCTAAACCCTAAACCGCTACTATGGAGTAAGCCGGCATCCGCCATTCGAGATCTGACCCCTGCGATCTGAAGCATCAAACCCCACAACCGGTGGAACCAAAACTTCACCCCCAAGGGCTCTTTAATAGTTATGGCCCTTAACAGTGAGTTTTTGGGGTATACTACAGTAGAGGCTAGTTGGGGGTCTAGGCAGTAATCGACTTATGCTAGGTGCCGCTATAGCTATTGGATGTAACCTAAGCCTAGGTACTTTGGTTACTAAGGGCAAGTAGAAGCTTGCGATAAGCAAATTCGGGATTTGGGTTCAGGGTGTTGTGTTTCGTGTTTGACGGCTACTACGGAGTGCCGGTATTCTGTATTGTTGCTGGATACGCGTTCTCAAAAAAGATCACCACTGCATGCTTGCTCCTGCCTTCCGCGCGAAACCAAAACCAAGAACCTGAACCCTACACCCTCCCCGAACATTACACCTTAAAACCTTAACCCAAGATCCCAACCTCAAAACTGCCACCCAAGTCCTGGTCTGTGAGCCCCTAACACCACTTCAATCCCTGATCCTTTGCCCCTGATCCTTTGCCCCGAACCCCACTATAAGTCTGATGTGGTACTCGTTCTTCAGACCCTGCTAAGGCTTTGCTTCTCAAACAACCCTAAACCCTAAACCCTACGTTGACCCACAAGTATGTCGAACACTAGCCTTTTATAGGTGTTTGGACATTCTTTTACCTACTTTTGGCGGTTTAGGTAAGTCCGCACCCCTCAGAATTAAACTTAAGCCCCAAAGCCCTAAACCCTGCAACCCCAAGAAGGTCGAGACGAACTTTTCGGGCACTTGGTGCCTGCGACTTCGCCTTCTCGGTGGGGTCCTCCATGGGTCGTCCTCTGCAGAGGATGAGGGAGTACTTATGACATGATAGTCTCCATTGTAGTTAACCTTTTTGGCTAACCAGTTTATATGGTTAGAGTCTTTGAAAACTAAACTTGGTTTTGGTGAATGTATGCTTTGGGTCTCATCAGAGGGATACTAGCAATAAGTACAAAGAGCCAATGCCATGAATGTATTGTTCGAGGGACCTTGTCAAAAAGTAGGTTGTGTTAGTTTGAGGCCAGGCTTCCAGTCGGCTTGAGAGGGTCAAGCAGTGCTCTGCTTCCGGGACCAGAGCTACTTGGAGGGGCACGGGGCTTAGTATGTAGCTTATAAGTAGGGTTATATTTGGGGTAACTCCATTTAGGGTACTTATAACTCTACTTATAACCTACTTACCAAGTCCCCTGCCCTTCCAAGTAGGCCAGCAACGCACCTCAACAAGGGTGCTCGGTGCTAGGTTTGCCCTGGAAACCAAATCGCTCTGCAGCCACAGCACAACTAAATCTGGAAACTCCAACCCCAGCGTCCTTCACTGATGGCAGTGGCCGTGGCGAGCATTCTCTTCTCCTCCTTCCTCAGTGCCTTGCAGGGCGTCAGGGCTTGCGGCTTGGGTTCAGTCGGGGTCTTGTCTAGTAGATACCAAAAAGACCGAACTTCGTGTTGAGGCGCGGTGAATCTTAATTAGTAAGGACCCTACTAGGGTTAGTGGGTTTAGGGTCTAGGCTTTAGGGGTTTGGGATTTTTCGGGGGCTCCTTTTTCCAACAGATCCGTACAGCCTCTGCCGAAAAGCCAGCAGGCTTACGTACGGCCCCTTGGAAATTTGAAAACTGGATTCAGTAGTTGAAATGCTCGAAAGACGCACCACCAAACCCTCACCCTCTTTGAACTCAACCAGATAGTGTCATAGTGACGTTCTCCCAGCGACGGACCCTTCCCTTCTTGCTTGTCCTCTGCGACCTCCCTGAGGGCTCAGAGGTTGAGAATTTAAGGTTTAGCCCTAAGGGTCCAAAGGACCCAACAATTAGGTACTCAGGTTTCGGATAGTAGTTATGTAGGTTACTATTTGGAAAGTATATGATTATTTAGGTACTTGGACCCTTAGGGTAGGGTTTGCTCCAGATAAATCGAGGCCTCGGACATCCTCACTACCCCAGTCTTCGTTATATAGGTTCCTGGTAGTTCGCAGAGGGTTTGGGATGCATTGTAGTGTAACTTTACAAAGGACTTTGAGGAATCGTATAAAGAATGTTTGAAGCCACCATAACACTGCGAGAAACCCGCGAAAGCACAAGTGCTCACATTGCTGCCGCGGACAATTCGAATCTTCGCAGGCAGAACTAGGCTCCACCAAAGGTGACATTATGGTGCTGCTGCTCCCTAGAACAAATGCACATATATCTCTATATATGTCAGCCCTAAACCGCTGCGCCTAAACGCTCCACCGCAAAAGACAATAACCCATATCTCGAAAGGCCTCTTCGGCTGCTTTTGCGGCCTTCTGCTCTGCATCTTCCTTCGCGGACGATGGTCCTGAATGAGCCTCAATCGCCGAGCTCGACAGTGGGACAATAGGGCCCAGTGGCGGAATATCATCAATCCGAAGACCTATCAACATGGACCCTGAACCCTAAACCCTTTTCCACGAGACTGCAAATCCCACACTCGACAGACTGCTATGCACGGTTCTAGCCTTGCCATTACCCAGAGGCCCCAAAGTAGTTCCTTTTTGGGGCTCGTAAAAAAATCTATAAAGTGTAATCCCAAAAAGGAGCTACTTTGGGGCCTCTGGGTAGCCTTTAGCCCCCGGGCCACAGGTTACGCTTAAACTGAAATTCTGGCTCGAATTCCTTCTGTGCGAACTGCGAAATCCTAAACTCTATGACCCTTACACCTTGACGAATGGCCTTCACCACCACCTGCGCAACAGCACGAGCAGCATCACTCCTCCAGACATTGGAAATTGGAGAGGAAGATCTTTTCGCAATAAACACAAACCCTAAACCCCACACCATTAATTGAAACGAAAGTTCCTTGACAACGTGTTGGACGAAACGGAGAGTGTTGCACGCTTGAAGCAACTTTGATCTGCATGCGACATGTCAATGTAAGGGTCGGAGTAGTTGGGAAGAGAGCTTCTTTTGCACTGGCATGCTTTTACAAGGGCCCTAAACTCTAGACCCTTGTTTTCGTTCGGGAGCCGTTTTGGCGAAGTGATCGTTGCCGACGACATGGAGTGTCATGACCTGGTTCGGCACGCACCTTCTTCTTCTTCTCGGCCAGACATGCACATTCCCAAAGGCTCCATGTACCTTTATAGTAGATACTTAAGCCTTAAAGGGGTGCCTATATAGGTACTTTAAGGCCTAAGTATATACTATAAGGGTACATGGAGCCTTAGGGATTGTGATTGCCACTATGGGCTATTAGACCTTATGGGTACCTTAATCTACCCTTAATAGGGTCCTACTAGGGATCTTTAGGGTCTAATAGCCCATAGTGGTGGTGATGCGGAGGACAAGCTGCCAGGCGCTGAGTTCCGAGTGAAGGGTCCCAGCAGCGCTGCGACGTGGGGGGCCGGCCGAGGAAGAAAGCATCTCCCGGCCGATGGGCATTTATTATTACTGTTGTTATTACCAATATTACTGTTATTATTACTATTATTGCTATTATTATTACTATTATTACTATTAGTACTATTAGTATTACTATTATACTATTATTACTATCATGTCGGGTTCCGTTGCAGTCTCCACCGGCTTGGCTCCACGGCCTGTCAGAGCGCCCGGGATGGGCTTGTTCACGAACGCCTGCGACCACTAGTGGCTGTCTCTGGCACTGGCGGCTGCGGCTCTCGCCGACTAGACCCGCATCGAGATGAATAACCCTAAACCCAATACCCTCAACCCTAAACCCGACACCCTAAGCCATAAACCCTCAACCCTATAAACCCTAGAGTGTGTGACGCCCTGGTGGCGTCATGTTCGGAAACCCTAAGCCTATAACCCCAAACTCTAAGCCCTAAACCCTAATCGGCCGCTGTTCGGCCTTCCTCCGAGGCTCTGAAGCTCCCAAACTGAGGATTTTGGGGTTGGGTTCCCCTTACCAGGATTTTGGTAAGGAATTAAATTGAAGTTACTTTTTTTTTTAAAGTGCAGTAGCAACCTTTCTCCGCAGGCGCCTGCTCTACAGAGCTTGCACTAACAAAAAGCCTCCCTCAGACATGGCCACCGTACAAGAACAGAAGGTGCATCCCTCGAGCTCAGCATTCAACTTCACCCATCCCTTGATCGACTTCGCTCACGGTATGTACTGTTCACGTCATCAATCTCTCGATCACCACCTCGATCTCGTACAGGGCCTTCGCGAACAGGTCGAGCAAGACCAGGACCTCCTTCTTGTGCCATAGGTTGAGCATCATGAAGATCAGGTCGTAGACGACGGGGACGAGGTCGACTTCCACGGCGACGAGCTTGAAGAACAGGGCGACGAAGTTGTCCCGACATTTCGGCACTGAGCGGTGTGGTAACTCCAATGGCTTCATCTGCTTGGAGTAGCAGCAATCGACGATCATCTTCTGACGACCAATGCCCTTGTGGTACAGTTTGGCCCTCTCCTTCATATAGTCGAGCCATGTGAGCTCGCCATAGTCGTCGTCGAAAGCCTGCTATGGTATGACGATGTTCACGAGGGTGGAAGGCCATTTGTGCCTCATGAACATTTTCAGGAAATCCAGGCTGCAGCACATAGGCGGGATCCATTGAAGGTACCGAACCAAGCGCCACTGTGCCAGTAGAAGACGACGAAGCTGCCATCTCCTGAATCACTCCCGGGATCTCCTGAGCCATGGTTCGTCCATTGAACGACACTGCTGTCAAAGGAGTACGCAGCCAGTGAAGAATCTCTTCTGTGGCTTCTCCAACGAGCATGGCCTCTCTGTGCAACCTCCTTTGCCGAGCTAATAGACGATGACAAACATCCACGGCATCTCCGATGTTGCCTTGTACAAGTTGAAAGTCAACAGCTTCCCGAACCACTGTACCAGCTCCCACTTCCATCGATGTACTCGTTGTCGTGGTTGTCGAGGAGGGTGAAGAAGAGCACCATGTCTGCACCAGGTTCAACTCATCAAACTCTTCCACTGAAAGAGTGGTTGAAGGGGAATCTGGCTCCTGTACTGTAATGCCAGAGCAGAGGTAAAGTGTTGTCGTGGTCGTTGAGGTCTCCACCACACTTGAGTTGCTATCTGGCTCTCTCCAAATCCCCTGTAATTCACCATCGGCACCTGGTGGAAGGATTGGGACGTTCACAGGTACAGGCGGAGGAGGACCCAAGGGACCCCCCGAGGGGGACGCAGGCTCAACATGGACAAGGGTGCCAGATGCATTGAGAGCCCACTCACTATCCATTGTTGGTACCCATTCTGAGGTTCCCGAAGGGCTCCGCGATCTCGAGGTGCGCGTACGTCGACGGCCAGCACGGCGACGACCTGGACCACTGGAGCTAGCAGCCACTGAGTTGATGGTTCCCTCACTGGCAATAGCCTGGGACACCGCACTAGGTGGTGACACAGCCGCAGGGACGGGCGAGCCTTCTGACTCGCCGGGCTGAAGACGTACATGTAGGTGGTGCTCCAACGTCTGGACAAAGAGATCCATGTAATTACGTCCCCAATTAAACATGCGCCATCGTTCTTGCTCAGTGTGAGGTACCCGCCTGATCGGTAAATAGCCACGAGGAAGGAGACGACGGGAGATGACTTCATAGAGACCTTCCAGGGCATCCATCCCCTCAATGAGCCGCTGTCGAAGGCAGCCAACACTCCATCTGCTTTCGGGGCCTTGTCCCATGTCCTGCATCCGCTCTAGCTGATTGAAGAGGTGTTCCACTCGCCTGATCATCTGAGCAGGAACACCACGCTCCTCAAGCCGACGTTGCTCTGCATTGGTGAGTTGCATGAAGGAAGCCTCCTCACCTTCACCCACAGTGACTGTAACACCATGGTCCACCGGCGTGGGGTGAACCTCAGGGAAAAGCCCAAAGTTGGGAAGGAAAGGCCCATCGTCCACAGTCTCAGCTTCCACCGTCACCTGCTCGCCTTCATCAATGACCGGCTCACTCACCCCAGTGGTGGAAGTAGTGGAGGAGAACGTAGGGGAGTCAACCAACCAGAACAAAGTCGACGTCGTTGTTGTAGAGGAAGTCGACCACCAGAGTAGGTTGTCTCCGCATTTTGTGACCAGGACCAATCCTCCCACTGGCCTTGTCCCGTCCACCCCCAGTGAGCAGTGTTGGGGTCTGCCGGCGTAGATTCCCACCATGAAGGTGACGAGGATGACCACGCTTCGGTAGAAGACGAAGAAGAGGACCACGGCTGGCCAGAAGTCAAAGAACTTGTCGATGTTTGCGTGTCCAGACCAGTCTGAGCTCCAGATAGCACTTGTTCCTGTGCTTGGAGGCGTTGATTCTTTTCCCGGACGTAGGTCTCCAACCAAGCCGGGCGCCACTGACCCAGAAAGTAGGCCCGCATACGACGTTCACGTTTTAGCCAGCGCTGCATACCATTGCCACCTTGATGTTGCCGACGTTCCCCTTCAGTGCGCGGTCGCGCAATCCACTCCCCGCGTCTCCAAAAGCCAACGCTCTCATTCGAAGGGGTTGTACTCGAAGAAGACGTCGCCCCACTGTCGCTTTCTTGAGCATCCAAGTCAGTTCCCTCTCCCGCGGTGGTAGAGTTCTCCTACGGATACAGGTGCGCTTCAGAGGCCCAAACTGAGAACGCGTCCCCGTAGAACGTCTTCGCTTGGATCACAGGGCCTTGCGGGGTAGCTTGGCTCCCTTCTACTACAAAAGGTGGTTCGGTTTCCGAGATAGGAGCCAATCTCTCGGCTTCTCTGCGTTCCCGGAGACGGTTTCTGACAGATCCGTCTGTGTGGTGCCACCGATCACGTCCAGGTCGAATTGTGAGGAAACGTTGGGTAATTCCCTCGTTATCAACCGCCGAGGACTCTGGTTCAGGGGTAGCCACCAAAGCTGGGTCAACAGATTCAGCATTTCCCTCATTTCCAGCACTGGCAGCCGATGAAGTCAAAGCTGGAGTTTGTGGCAGGGCGGTAAGAGACGAAGATGAGCCACGTGAACAATTCGTCCATGTAAGGTCCCAGGAAGGCGGAGAGGACGAAGTAGGCCAACAGGTAGGATTGGAGATCGACGAGGGAGACGAAGTAGACCAATACTCACCTGAGGGTGGCGAAGAAGCATCCTGAGGCCCAGAGCTCGTCCACGAAGGTGTCCAAGTAGTATCCGGCCAGTCCCTCCAGGACGACATGGTTGCAGGGCACGATGACGTTGTTTGGGAGTGATCTTCCCAGGTGTGGGTCCCTGTTACATCCCAGCCTTGATTCCAGGTAAAGCTGCTTCAAGAAGGCTGTGATTTTTCAGTGTTGGTCCAATCTCCCCAGGGAGTCTGAGAAGAGCTATCCCCAGAGTCGGCAATTGGTTCCCACGAGTCATTGCCTGACTCATCCCGGACAGAACTCTCATGCCCAGGGGAGCCTTGACCTCTTGCTTCACTTGCGGTTGACGTACTAGCCAGGGGAGCTGTCAGGAATGTACGAGGGTCTCGTCCAGAAGCAGCGCGTTCTTGTGGTACTGCAGCAGGTGGGCCTCCACGAAGAACACGACCGTCCCCAAGTGCACAAAGTAGTCGAGGCCAGTCCGTCGTCCGATCAGTGTTCGCGGGTTCCCGATGAAAAGGAAGCGGTATTGTTTCAGGTCCAGGCGGCAGCCCTTCAGAAGCCTCCCAGAGTCCACCTGCTTGTTCATAGTCTGCCAAATTTTCAGTCGCCAGAGTCTCTTCCTCCCAGGCAGCTGCCAGTGAGATATTCTCATCCCAGGCTGCAGCCATGTGAATGACGTACTGGGCATGGTTATAGGCGGTGCATATAGGCAAGGAAGAGGAGATTGAAGGAGAGCTCGAAGAACTCGCCCCAGGGTCACCAGGCTCTCCAGGCTCTTCATCCCACACCCCGCCGAGGACCACGCAGGCCAGGAGGTAGGCGTAGAGGGCAATGTGGTCCATGAAGCAGGGCAGCACCATGTACGGGAGGTGCAGACGGCGAGTCAAGGAGAAAGAGGGACAACAGAGTCCCACCTCGAGCCAAGGATTGCATGCACCATGTTCTCATGGTTCAAGATGTCAAACTGCATGTCAACTAAGTGGCGATCATGTCGGAGCTGCCATGCTATGCGTGTTGCACTGCACACCAGCTTTGTCGTGCAAATTGAAGAAGTGATGATCTAGAAGTCGGTACGAAGATCACTCGGTCGTATTGGATATGCCTGCAGGCACCGATGATCATGCGGATACCGAACGCTCCCGAATTCAGACATTGTTAGACGGGAGAATGATCAGAATTGCTTCGAATCAGCCACACGACGACACAATCTGATGCAAGTCCGCGGCGCGCTCGTGCATTACCGTGCCATAATACTCATACCTGTCCTGTGATGCCTTTCCGCGCTGCAACTCCATCACGAATGCCTTTATGATCTTCACGTAGGTGCCAGCAGAATCTTTCCCTTCCAGTGGCCCCTTATTGATAGCAGCGACATAGTCGGACCCAAACAGCTCCTCAGCGATTTTCGTATCCTGGGAGATGCAGAAATGCGCGGACACTTGCTCCACTACCACCTTCTTCCCAAGGATGGATGCTGTGGTCTCGGTTGTATCCCTTTCGAAGAGCATAAAGCAGGCCAACGCAGCGGAAGTGTTGACTAGATTCATTGGGAGCGTCCCAAATGCTGAGATTCGTTCCGAACGTCCCGAAGGTCCCCTGAACCCTGGTGCCGATCCGATCAATCGGCTAGAGCCCAAGGACGAAGACCTGATAGCAGCCGAGCTCGTTGGCTCAATGCTCCGACTTCGCGTTTCGGCGGTAGTAGTACCGCCGAATATGCTTGAACCACGAGAGTGCATTGAGTGTCCGTCATCTCTCTCGAACAGCGAGCGTCCTCTGACCGGATCGGAGAAGGTCACTTCTGGCCCCCTCAACAATCCTGTTCCAGCTGGACTGGCATGAGCAAAGATGGATCCTGACGTGTGAGCACCTCCAAATCCTGGCCCAGTTGCTGCCGCAAACAATGGTGGTGGCACTGCCGGGGTCTCTCCGAACGACCCGAACAAGGACCCTTTCGTCATGGGGTCAGGCCCGGAATGCACCGTAGGAGTCTTGCTTGGCACAATGGAGGCACGCACAGATCGGAGTTTGGCTTGGAAGTCTGCCATTCCAGATCCAGAGGTCGCTGACCCTGTGATCCCTGCATCGTGAGTGCCCCCGGTGACCGAAGATACAGGAGTCACGTCCTTCCCGGTCATCCCGCTGGCCCGGTGAATCCTCTCCTCTGACTCCCTCAGTTTGTTGACCAGCTCATGTATCTCACGATCCTTTGCCTCCTCACGTTCTCTCATCGATACTGCCAGCTCCTCCGGGCTCTCCATGGCCATTTGCATGGCCTCTTGAATTTCCATCCGGGAGGAACTCACCTCGGCCCGCAAGGCTGCTCTCTCGGCCATCAATGCGTTCTCGGTTGCCTTGTAGTTCTCAATCTTCGTATTAGCGCTACGCAACCTTGCTGATGTCTCGCTCTCACTGCGGGACACCGTCTGCAATGTTGCACGGTTCGCATTACACTCCGCTTGGAGTGCTGACATTGCCCCTTCCATCACTCGCATTTGAGATGCTTCGGTCTTCAGGTGGCTTTCCGTAGATGCCACTCGCTGCTCTGATGCCTTCAAGCTGGCAACGATGAATCCTTCCTCAGCAATTCTCTCATCCAGTTCGCTTGTAAGCTTTTGGCGCTGAGTTATCTCGGCTGCAATTTGGGTTTCTGATGCCGCAAATTGCAAGGTCATTTGCGCATTCTGTTCTTCCAAGGAAATGATTTGTTCCTGGTGCTCGCTTTGCATCCTCGCCATTTGCTCCCGAATTGCCTCGACCTCCTCCTGTCCATTCGCGATTTGTGCTGCTTCGGCCTCAGCGATGGCCTCACCCTGAATACTCTGAGCGGCATCAGACATGTTGGATGATTCTGATTGAACCTGAGAACCGATTAGGGACGAAATCGAAAAGTTCTGAACCATGCTTGAGCCGTAGCCATTTAGGGTTTAGGGTGAAATAGTTCAAGTTACCACAATATACAGTAAACCCCATAAAGTTGGAAACCGGATTAAGGCCAAATAGTGCTGGGATTCCCAGTACATTACTCTTATGGATTGAGGCTATTGGGTTTCCAACTTTTAGGCTTCTACTGTAGCAGGATCTCTAGTAAATTACTAATCTGGGTTGTAGTTTTGGGCCTCTGAAAAAGTATTTATGAATAGGTGCCTCTTTAGGAACCATAAGGGAAAGTAACAAGTTTCCCTAATTGCCACCCGGTAATGGTACTTAAACCTTTAACAAAAACCCAGTTCAGCCCCGATGGTGCCCGTGCCGGAAACCAAAAACCCTGAGAATTCGAACACCATACCTACGGCTTATCTATACTGAACTTAGAACCCTAGCAAAAATGATAATCTTAGCTGTTTCTGAGGGGTTATAATAACCAAAAATCAAAAATATTTCTAAGTACCCCAAAGTTGTTTCAAACACACCCTAAAACGCCTAAACCCAGAACTTAAACACACATCCAGTCACACGGAAAGCTTGCACCTTGCCAGCCCTTAAAGTTTAGACCACAACGACCCTGCGAAGAAGGCGCGCAGTTCGGGATTTCTAGCAAGGCAAAGTTTAGGGAATCGGGGTTTGGTGCAATCTACGGTCTGGGGTTTGGGGTGTCGGGGTAGTGTTTTTTTCGGGTGTCGGGCCTTGGGGCTTCAAGGCTTCAGTAACGAAGCTAGACCCTATAAACCCTAAACCCTGAACCACTGGAGCCTTGCATCCAGGACCTCTGCATCCGGGGGAACTGTGACCTGCAAGTCATAGGAGATTCTTTTCAAACCCTACTAACCCCTAAACTCTAAAGGTTGATCAGGATGATTTCTTTGAAGCTGATGTAGCAGATCCCCATCAACCAACCCCTGGCGTCAAATCGTCAACGATGTATATCAAGAGCTTGCATGACGCAAGAGACAGGCGGTCCTCCGGCAGGTTGACACATTCAGCGTAGCCCAAAGGGTCCAAGTATCATAATGGTATATACTTAGACCCCAAGATACCCTATAAGTATATACCATAGTGATACTTGGACCCTTTGGGGTAGTATCTGCCGCGTAAGTACTGCGGCGATAAAGTCTCCAAAAGACTATCAGGACCGAGAATCTGCTCAAGATGACGATGACCACGGTGGTGATGCAAGGAACGGCATTGCTTCATCACGACTCGGGAAGGCAGCACCATGAGAAAAACCCAAGAACCAAATTGCATCGTTAATGACGAGGGTAGGATGTCGGGATTTGCTAATTCCTGTCTCTTTGTTCAGAGACTGGGGCTGCTTTGTTGAGACTTGGCTCTTTTGGCATTGGCGTTTCGGGATACAACAGCTGATATATTGCCTGTATGCACAACGATTCCCGCGAACCGATTTGGCACAGATAGCAAAGGGAACAGCAGTGACGACAACGCCACACCATGAGCCACGACCATCCCAATCAACAAAAAAACGAAACCCAGACCCTAAAGCCTAAAGCCTAAGCCTCAAACCCCAAACCCTAAACCCTAAGCCCCCAACCCTAAACAACAACCACAGCAAAAGTATGAGTCGGCTGGCCTTGACGATGGGCTTCGTGACGCACCTTGCTCGCTGTCAGCCGAGTCTGCTTCGATCCAAAGCAGGGCTTTATAGGGTGGTCTTATCTACACCCACCCTTAGAACCATAAATAAAAATGTGCATTCTTCTTTTTGGGCTTTATATGAGCAAAAATACAAAATCATTCCTAAGGAGACTGTAGTATAAGGTTACTTCAGGGTTGTTCCTGGGATCATCTTTGGAGTTTAGGAAGAAGGCTTCTGGGTTTGGGCCGTTATATGTAAGTTTGGGGTTTAGGGTTTTGGATATGCAAGCTTAGGGGTCTCAGAGCTGAGGAGTTGGTTTCAGAGTTTCGAAGTTTAGGTCTTAGGCTCAGGCTTGTCGGTTAAGGGTCCTTGGGGTGTTGGCTGAGGTCTTAGTTCGGGAGGCTTGAGAGTAAGTTTACAAAGTCGCAACTCGCCAGTTGATGCAGCTCCGGTGAGAACACATCTATACTAGTAACACGAACCACAGGAATGCCTAGCCAACTGCGCATACTTGCTGATAGCACTAGCGAGCACGCAACAACTCAACACCCTAAA